AAGGACTCACATGTTGTCATATCTTGCTTCCTTCTTATGATAGATAATGATCATTATGTGGATGCACAGGCGTAGGCATATGACATCGTTATTTCAAAAAGAACAGGAAAAAGGCAACAATTAATCTACTGAATTAGCATAATCAAAAAGGAAATTCCATTAATTTTCATACCTAGATGTCCAGTTTTGAGGAAATGGAATACAACAATCCTGCGCATATTAATACCATGCCTGTATTGCCTTTTTGTCTAAGTGTTAAGTAAAATCTCAACTATGCAGAACAGTTTTACTGCTTCTGCTTCAACTCTTCTTATTAAGACTCAATAAACATAGGAGATTTTATCTCCTCTATTTCCTTCCTTCCTGAGATACACTTAAATTTTAAATCTTGAGCAGGAGCATTTAATTTTTGAGTCTTTCACCTAGTAAATATCAGTTTCCACCACATGGGGGTGCATTCATAAGAAATATCCATCATGAAATTAATGACCAAGAATAATCCTAGGATGTTTTTAAGTTAAAAATCAACACGAAATGGTTATAATTAGAACCCCCAATGTACACACTTTTAATGTTGCTTCTCATTATAGCTGATGGCATTGGCATGGAATATGGATTGTTTAGCAGTCCTCCAACTGAAATTAACGTTGCTGGAAATTATTCAGCGATTTAATCCATGTTTAAGAACTACAGGTTGTCTTGCATATAATTTTACTACATTTATAATACCACTAAAACTCAAAACAAAAGCATGCTATAGTCTAGGCCCATGCTTCTAATTTTAATCTGAGTGGTACAGCGAGTGTGCATTGCACAGACTTGTATACCAGCTCCAAAATGTGTAACTGCAGTTTTATGGCACCTACTGCTAGGTCTAATTGGCTTGTAAGTCAGGGCAATATGTCATATAGCACTTCATTAGTTATGAGCCCCTAGCCATTAAATATGGGAACTATAATCATTTTACGTGGAACGCTTTGTAGGTGAAAGCAAGTACTATTTTAATCCTTTTTATTATCACATTCCTATCCTATACTAAACAAAAGAAACCATACCCCCAGCTATTTCCACACATATCTTACGTTCTTAAGAATTAAGTGGCACCTCCTCTCCTTTCAGAAATTTCCACAAGTATACACACCTACTTCAAAATATGTATCTTTCCTTAGATAAATATATAGATAAATGTCCCAAAATCTAGGAACAATAAGAAAAATGTCATTGCTGAGACTGAAAGTCTTATTTCAAAAAGGAATTGCTTTCCTGTATTGTCTCCACCTGCATTACGATCACACCAAAAGCACAGGTGGCTCCTTTAGAAATATCAAATTCATAGTAAAAGGGTTAATTCTAAGATTAGGATGTTATACAGCAATGAGTACCTTAAAATACCCTTGAAAAGGTTTATTTTATATACTAACTGGAAGAGTGAGTTGATACAAATTAAGACCATTTCAATCAGTGATCTAAAGTATCTGTTGGGAGTGCTTTGATTGTGTGTTCCTGCATGGCATTAGACTGGATGGCACTTATAGTCTCTACCAATTCTATGATTCTGTATTTGGAATCTGAGCACTGCTAGTGTAGTTCCCTTAGTTTTTGCTGGATTAGGCTGGAAAACTGAGACCAATAGCACATTTTTATTTACCTAACTTCTCTACCTCACATAAATATTTTGCCCCTTCAAAGTGCTGAGTATCTTGTCTACATCAAGTAGCAATTTTGTTTTGTTGTTTATTCGTTCAGTCACTTCAGACTCTTTGTGACCTCGTGGTCCAGCCCACCCCAGAGCTCCCTGTCAGCCATCATGCAAATTAAATCCATTTTAGTTCCTGGTTTTTACACAATGATGTTTATCAATATTTAAAAAAATATCAAAACATCTACAAGCCACTTCATGTGATAAATGAAAATATGTCATAAAATAAGAGGGGTAAGCGATGAAGAAAGTTTAAAACTGCACTTGTGAAGAACTAATCTGGCAAAAACCTATAACAAGGTGAAAGTATTTTTTGGAGTTTTTATTAAAATACTGAGTCAAATTAACTAGTGTTATAGGAAAGAAAGAAAAAACATAAATTGGCCTCATAGTGAGGCATCCAGGCCCTAATTCTCTCCAAGCTTCCAAGTAGCAGTTTTTCCATTATCTACAACTTGATTATTTTACTCTGAATGCAAACCATGTAACATTTAATCAGGTGTTGAATAGCAAGTCCCAGCAGCCCTAGGCAGCACTGCCAATGGAGGTCCACTCTAATACAATCTATTGGACTGCATGATTCCCATTTGTGATTTAATTACAAATGCCAATGACTGATAGTTTTGCATGAAAAATGCTGTATTCCACTACTGATCTATTTATTTATTTATTTATTTAGGGGATTTATATCCTGTCCTATCTCAACCTCTGCAGAGGGACTCAGGGTGGCTAACAACCGGCATAGCACAGTGCCAACAACAGAGAAAAAACAGCATAAATATACATATTATAATAAAAACAATATAAAAACATTAAAACAGATTGCTGATTTAAGTCATCATGCTTATGATGGTTCAGAATGAACTGTTACAGTTGCTGCAGTTAGTTGTGACCAGAACTTGAGATAGGTCAGAAGGTAAAGGCATGGGATTGTCTTGAAAATCTCCAAATATGGTACAATAAGCAACTGAGGTATTAGTACAATTATAACTGTGGGGTATACCGGATTTTCTAAAGTACATACTGTATATGTCATAACATTAAATAGACAAGGAAGCCACTGTGCCACGATATGAAATGACTAAAGTGCAGAATAATTTACTGGGTGCTTGGGAATGGGTGAGACAGCCCTCTACATAAAGCCAAGAGGAAACAGCTTTCGAGAAGGAAGGCATACTCTATAATCAGTCCAAATACTGATTGGCTCCTTTTCCAAAACACAGACTGCAGTTTAAATGGAAAACTACTGAATGTCTAATTTGGGGACTGCACACCACACCTAAAACAAATAAACACTGAAGGTTTCCTTTCTAGTCTAACGATATGAATTTACTTAAACAATTGGAGGGATAAGAGGATAATGTTTCAGTTAAAACTTTCTTCAGACAAATCATCTGTGAATGAATTTATCACACCATCTGTTGGAAATAAATCATATACTCCTGAAGGCCACATAGGAAACTACAGTCATAACCTGGGAGGGGACCCCCCCCCCTTGCAAAAAAACCCCATGTTTTTCAAATATTTCATTCTTATTGTACCATTTAAAGCATTACAATTGTGGGAATATTCTATTTGAACATGTGAATGAAAGCATGGATTAACTAAAACTTACAATTTCAATTTTTAAAATTATTATTATCATTACTAATTTCACTTCAGGAAATGAGGCGAGGTTTGAAAACCCTTAACTGCAATCATATACAACTGTACAAAATGGTTTTTCATTGTGCAACAGAGAATACACAAAATCATCTGTTGGAATTTATTTGGGACAAATTTTAGCATGAAACCAGAACTCTATGAGAAATATCCACACATTCTGGGGTATAGCATTGAGTTTCTCCCACATGGCTCCTCCTGTCAGAAGGAGCAGATAAATAAACAAGGGAATTTCTGTGCAAGTTTTTCTTACTATTATGTTTGAAATGGGATCTACAATCCATTGTCCTCTTAAAAAATGCCAGAATCATACGCTGGGGCTTGTTTTGGTCTTATGATTCTAGCTTGTTAGGAGAAAATAAGCAAGAATTCCTGGTGCAGATGTAATGGTAGAAACAAACCATGTATAGATATTTCTTGGTTTCTTTAATTATGCCATTGGCCAAAGAGGGCAGTGCACAGCAGTACACAAGCATTTTTGTGGTAAGCCGCAGTTCTCAGCAATTCTACCCTATTGTGATATGTAATGTTTAATGGATATACGTTGGAATATCCATTAAATATAAAAACACTGTGCTTTTAACACACTCTACATATTCCTGTATAAGTTTAGAAATTTTAGTCACAAAATCAACCAAAAAACCCTGGGTCAACATAGTCACAGGACAATATGAATACTTCATCTTAAATCTTCTTTTAAAAAAAGAAATATCCCCATCTCTATATAAACTACCAAAAGAGGCAATGAACCCCTCCTGGCACTGTTTCTGGCTTTTTTGAATGCCTAGATGGGGAAATGGCAGTGATGCCCAGGAACCCCCCTGAGGTGGCATTGGTGCTTTCCCCTCACCATGGAATAACCCTAGACTTATCCACAGATCACATCAAAATCCTTAATTTTGGGTCCAAAATGTGCCCTCAACTTATACATGAGGCCTACTTATACATGAGTATAAACAGTATATTCAAATTGAAATTTAAGCATAACTGATTTTGGGAAAATGCATACTAAAGAACATAACCTAAATCTAAACAGAGAGGACATGCAGCTGAAAGAACTATTTGGTTCTATTTAAATAAGAAAAAATGCCAGTCATCCTCACATATTTGAATTAAAGATGAATATGTGAGGAAAAAATGTATTAGGAACAAAGTAAAAAAAAAACATAATTACTCTCTGATGATGATGAGAGTACATGTTGACCTGCGGAGGCCTGATTCAGATATGCAGGTGCAATTTATCTTATTTATTGGATTTAAACACCATCTTTCTTCCAGAATGGAATCTCTTTTTTAACCTTGGATAAACTACTCTCAGTAGAATTTGCAGTAAATTAGTTTTTTGCACTGGATAAAGGGTACCGCTCTTTACACTAACCCATCTATACATAAAAAAATTCATGGGTGTACAATATGCAAATAAAATCTGAGTGCAAAATCAAGACTATAAAATTTACTTTCTGACTATTCACAATTCCATTTTGCCTGTTTATTTTGTCACCTGCCTGTTCTCAAGATGAAAAAAAAATCCTATTCTCCAAGTTTGCCCCCCCCCCCCAATGAATTTGTCATCCCTGCTAGAAATAAAAACATAACATTTCTACAGATGTCTAATGTCTCTGAATCATTGGACACTTACCTTTTTTTGAAGAACATTAATTTTTCTTTCTTTGACTTCTAACATATCTTTCATATCTCGGATTTCTCCAGCCAGAGTTCCCTTTTCTTCTGTGAGGTCTTGCAGTTGTTTGGTTTTTTTATTAAGAAAACTTTCTTTCTCTTCTAGACGTAATCTCAAGGCATCAACCTATAATAAATGTGAATACATAGGAGTCTTACTGAATGGAATAATGGAAAAACAGAGTAGTTAAGCTTGTTGAACACATTTTCCATTCCATTGCTGTTATTATGGTGTTTTCATATTAAATCACATTTAATTTGATTGTAAGTCTCAGATTTTTCAAATCAGAGTATAGTTATTACAGAAATAATAAAGAAAAAAGGCATCACTTTCGGAAGCACCAGGCAGGTCACACAGTATTTGTAAAAGAGGTTAAAGTAGTTCACCATGACCTTTCTTCCCTTCACTCTATCTACTGAAGATGCCATAGTGTTATTGAATCTATTCAGATTCATAGCTATACAATCTTCTGCAGGAGTCTACCGTATACCATGCAGCTGTGGATAAGTCTACATAGGGACTACCAAATGCAGCATTGCACAAACACGACTCAAGAAACATGAAAGGCACTGCAGACTACTTCAACCAGAGAAGTCAGCCATGGCAGAGCATCTGATGAACCAACCTGGACGCAGCATATTATTTGAGAACACAGAAATGCTGGACCACTCTCACAACCACCATGTCAGGCTACACAGAGAGGCCATTGAAATCCATCCGCATGTGGACAATTTCAACAGAAAGGAGGAAACCATGAAAATGAACAAAATCTGGATACCAGTATTAAAAAAACCTCTAAAACTATAATAGTAAAACAACACGCAAACTCAGGGAAACTCCAGAGAGGAAACAATCAGGAACAGCTAATCACCTCTCAACAAAAGATTCCCCCAGGCACTAACAAACCACACCAAAAAACTGCCAGGCCCTCAAATGCTAATCAAAGTGGCCAGTGAAACATTCACACCTAGATCCAACAGACAAGAGCTCTTTCTCCCATCCTGGACATTCCACAGATATATAAACCCAATTTTGCTAGTTTCCAACAGACCTCACTACCTCTGAGAATGCTTGCCATAGATGCAGGCAAAACGTCAGGAGAGAATGCTTCTAGAACATGGCCATATAGCCCCAAAAACCTACAACAGCCTATACAATCTCTATTCTTTTTATTTTTTGGTTTGATACAGAAAGTAAGTATTTTCGTGGTCAGGCACCAGGATGCTATTACAATTAAATGCCAGAAATCCATTTTATGACTATGCTCACTCAAATTTATGAAGATAGTTATTTCAAAAGACAGTACAATGTACCTTGCACATGAGATAGTTGCTTCTTTTGGAACTGAGATAATAAAAAAAACATAGTACTTATTTGGCAGAAGCTGTGTTTGTTGGGTAAGATTCAAAAGCAGAGGAAAATGCCTTCTCCAAACAAAGATTAGTAACAACAGAAGAAGAATAACATATTTGCTGTTGTTCGTTCCTTTTTGGAGGGACAGTCTTCATTTTTTTTCTTTGATGGAGATACAATTCTCCCATTTCCCTAGGAGCTTTCACTTTTTGTCCATTGCAATTCTTAGTATGCCTGCTTTCTTCCTCTGACACTGCCAGAGAGAGAAAGAGCACGTCTACACTGAGCTGGTATCCTGATTTGCTCTGTAGTGGCTGCATGACACATGAACTGATTAAGTTTTTTTAAAAAAAACAAGTTTTGAACCACATTAACAAAGATCACAGTTGCTCCAAATCCTTTCTGTGAATCCAGCAAACCATGACTTTGGGCCCATGTAATTCATAAGGCCATCCAATATTGGGGCCATTTGGTGGTGCTGAACTGAGTTTGGCATGACTGGTTAGGACTCCTTTTCACCTTTGTCAAAACCATCTGGCTAAGGATTTGGGCCCTTGTGAGGAGAACGGCACCTTGGACCCTGGAGTGGAAGGAGGAATGGATGATGGGGTGACTGAGGGTGGGGGAGGGGGTTGTTGGGCATACATAGGAATGAGAACATCATGGAGGGGCAGCAGACCTTGACGGGCTCCCTGAGGACAACTAATAACGTAACAGCAGATCATTCTGCTCAGCCAACCGCAGTTTTTGCCCAGGACCAACATCTCCTAACAGACAATTTTGCGGTTGACATTGCGGCTCTAATGATAAACAGAGGCAGATGGACCTCCAGGAGGGCGGTTTGTGACTCATTAGCCCAAATCTTAGGAAAAAGATCACGGGACATAAGATTGGAGGCCATAACATGGCTGCGGAGGGACTATCAATCTCCTGACCGCTCTTCTCGCCTCCTAATAACACCAGAAGACAACCACTGGCTTGGCGAGCTTATGTCAATGCAATCCTGTCTGAAGAAATGGGGCATCACCATCAGAAGGGTAGTTGTGGACCCCTTCATTCGCCCCCTTCTTGACACCGGGGTGCCTGCTCGCCCTGTTCCATCAGGCCCCCGTGAGAATTCCACAGACAGTTCTCCGACTAGGGCTCCCCCTCCTGGTTTATACCAATTCGAGACCCCATCCGCCCCAGTTGTCCCTTCACAATCAGTCACCCTCTCCCGCCCAAGGACTCTTCCCCTATTTAGTCCACTCAGCTCCCCCGCTGACTCTCCGTCCACCCCATCATCGGAAACATCCCTATCAAACACCCAGGGGAGATTATACTCCAGCCTCACCTCTTCTGAGAGTTGACTAGCCACAGATTCCATCCATGTAGGGGGAGGGGGGCCCAGAGGGGGGGCGCCATCCAGGTCGTGTGGGGGAGGAGACTCGTGGGTCACCAACATCCCAGGGAGAAGCGCAACAGAGTTTTTGCGACCCTGGAGAAGGTAGGAAGTGGTAGGCACCATGGCAGTCCCCTCGGTCTCAAGGTCCTGCTGATTAACGCCAGATCCGTTAATGGTAAGACCTCCGCCATCCAGGACCTGATCCTGGATGAGAGAGCGGATCTGGCATGCATCACGGAGACCTGGCTGGACGAGCTGGGGGGAGTAAATCTCACTCAGCTGTGCCCACCGGGCTTCGGGGTGCATCAGCAGGCCAGACAGGGGGGGCGGGGAGGAGGGGTCGCAGTGGTCTTTCGGCAATCCATCGCCGTGACCAGATGCGCTGTACCGCAAGCACCTGGGTTTGAGTGTGTCCTCCTGAGGGTGGGGAACCGTGACAGTGTGGGGTTCCTGCTGGTGTACCGCCCACCCCGCGACCCAGCAGGTTCCCTGTCTGAGCTAGCGGAAGTGGTCTCCAATTCGGCCCTGGTCTCCCAGCGCCTGGTGGTGCTGGGAGACTTTAACATTCATGCTGAGACCTCTTTGTCTGGCACAGCTCAGGACTTTATGGCCGCCATGACGACCATGGGACTGTCACAAATTATAGCAGGACCCACCCATCAGGCTGGACATACTCTTGACCTAGTTTTTGTGGCGGACAGTGAAATGATCAGAGTGGAAGAACAAAACACCCTTCCAGTGTCATGGTCTGATCACTATCTGGTCAGTTTTAGACTTGCTGCGACCCCCAACCTTCGCAGGGGTGGAGGACAAATTAAGATGGTCCGCCCCAGGAGACTGATGGATCCAGATGGACTCCTGAGGAATCTTGGGGTTCTTCCTGCCATGGAGCCTGGCGATCCTGTGGACGCCTTGGTCGATCTCTATAACAAGGAGATGTCCAGGGCGATAAATACGATCGCTCCTGAACGCCCCATCTCGCTGCGCCATGACAGGCCATCTCCGTGGTTCACCGGGGAGTTGGCTGTGATGAAGCACACGAGAAGGGGGCTAGAGCGCAAGTGGAGAAAATCTCGGGACGTATCTGATCAAGCACAGGCTAGGGCCTCTCTTAGGGCATACTCTGTGGCTATACGGGTGGCCAGGGAATCTTTCACGACCACCCGTATAGCGTCTGCAGCAAATAGGTCATCAGAGCTGTACCGGGTTGTCGGGGAGCTCCTTCACCCGCCTGTGGTGGAGGAGACCTCTGACGACCCGGCAGCTCGGTGTTGCGATTTCGCACACCACTTTGCAGGCAAAGTTGCCCAGATACGTCTTGAGCTCGACTCCAATTTCATCGCAGTGCCAGAGGAGGTGACTGAGGCATCTGCTTGTCCAATTTTGTGGGATTCTTTTCGGCTTGTTCTTCCTGAGACCGTGGAGGAGGTCCTGGGGGCTGTGAGGGCGACCACTTCGGCCCTAGACCCTTGCCCATCCTGGCTTATAAAAGCTGCCAAGGAGGGGTTGGTTGATTGGTTTGTGTTGATCATTAACGCATCGTTGGAGCAAGGGATTTTTCCATCTAACCTAAAACAGGCTGTGGTTCGCCCACTCCTTAAGAAGTCTTCCCTTGACTCTACGGTGCTGAACAATTACAGGCCGATCTCCAACCTCCCTTTTTTGGGTAAGGTGCTGGAGCGGGTGGTCGCCCTTCAGCTCCAGGGTTTCCTAGATGACATCAATTACCTAGATCAGTCACAGTCTGGTTTCAGGCCTGGTCATGGCACCGAGACAGCTTTGGTCGCCTTGGTGGATGACCTCCGTAGAGGACTGGACAGGGGGAGTGTGACCCTGCTGGTTCTCTTGGACATCTCAGCGGCTTTCGATACCATCGATCATGGTATCCTTCTGGGTCGACTCTCTGGGATGGGTCTCGGGGGCACGGTCTTGTCGTGGCTCCGGTCCTTCCTGGAGGGTCGAACCCAGATGGTGAAGCTGGGAGATGCCTGCTCGGATCCCTGGCCTTTGACCTGTGGGGTCCCGCAAGGCTCTATTCTATCTCCCATGCTTTTCAACATCTACATGAAACCGCTGGGAGAGGTCATCCGGAGTTTTGGAGTTGGGTGCCATCTCTATGCAGATGACACACAACTCTACTACTCTTTTCCACCTAATTCCAAGGAGGCCTCTCGGGTGCTAGACGAGTGCCTGGCCGCTGTGTCTATCTGGATGAGGACGAACAAGCTGAAGATCAATCCCGACAAGACAGAGGTCCTCCTGGTCGATCGCAAACCAGATCGGGGTATACAAAGCCCTGAACGGTTTGGGACCACCCTACCTGCGTGACCGCATCGTTGTCTACGAACCCACACGCTCACTCCGGTCATCTGGGGAGGCCCTGCTCGTG